AAACATTCACTTCAGTAGTGACACTACTAAATGCAGCTGTCGACGAGCCCGATAACATGAATCGTAAACGCGTTTGAAAGTTTTATACACAGTCGAAACAGGCGCCAAGCGGGTTGCGGCACACAGGGAGACGAATTCAGAGCTCGGCGCAGTTCACATCGGTGGTTTTGATTGAGCGGATTCAAGAAAAATGTTTGTCAACATGTTCGCTAAAATCTGGCTAAAACATATGGGGGAAAAATGTGAAAGTGAATTTTGCTCTATATTAAGTTCCCTCTTCGAATCCATAATGCCCAATTGTACGTAGTATGTTATAGGTATCCTCGTCGCTTTAAGGTAAGGCAGTTTATCAGCTTTGACGGAAAGATAAAGAAAAGAGCCTACAGTTGATGTAGAATCGTGTGGGTGTGTGAAATCTGTAAATAAATGTTTAAAATTTAAATATTGTTCTATTAATTCGTATAAGGAAGCACAGTCAATAAGAAAACACGTCAAAAAGTCGGCTAATGTAATTAGCAACTCATTATCCCGTCAATAATACGCACAGAACCGTTATGTATTAGTGTCCAAGAAATCATGTCCATTTTTTCTTAGAAATTACCACTGGCGCAAGGTGTTGTGTCACGAGTGGCGAAAATCGAAGCTGTTTCTTCAGAGAACAAAACTCAGCCTTCAAAGCTACGGGGAGCTTACTTGGGCCTCACCAAACAGTAACTTAATCTCTCAGAAGATTCACCACTACTTTTGATCGGCGACTGAAGGTATACGATGGCTCGATTTAATAATAACTGTACGTTACTTTTGTGTTTTCGTCGTTTGATTTTTTATTCAGAAACACGCAAATATTCCTATATATTCCCTTTATACACGTTTGTTGGCAAGTTTCACACATACACGCGCATTCACACAAGCACGCGCCCGGGACCTTCGCTGGAGAGGTGCCCCAAGAACTTTTTAAAATAACATTTTATATTTGTTTCGTAAATGTATATATTCTGTAGGTAACACTATGCATAAAACTGCAAACTATTTAACTAATGGTTCTCCGTAATGATACGAAAACATTTCCCTCACATACTGCATTAAAGAAATTGCATTGCAAATTAGTTTTATATGTAATTTCATCACGCTTGCGGTGTTAATCTGTCCGTGTCCCTCATGTGTGAACATGAGACCAGGACCTCCCTTCCCACAAAGCGAATGCAGGGGTCGGGTCGGGCCGCGCCGGTTCGAGGCAGTTCACCCGCCGCGGCGAGTGCACGTGCTGCCAACCGGCCAGCCCCGCCGCGGTCTCCGGATGCTGTCTCGACGCATACATTCACACAGGCGACGCCCGCCCGCCAGCTCGTGACGTCAATTCAAAACACGACCGGCCAGTTCCTCGCCGCGCGCGCGCGCCCGTGGGTGTCAAGGTCACGCCGCCTCCCCTGCCCGCGACCTCCGGTTTGTTTATGCGAATTTCAGTCGCCGTTCCTGGCGCCAGGAGGCGCGGCGGTCGCTTCGCGACCAGGGACGCCCGCCCGGCGACCGACCACGTGCTGGTGCACTCCCGCGCGATCTGACGGGCTACTCCGTAACTGCCAGCGGCGGTGCGCGCGCCATCCATTGACGGAAGCTACAACTATAAGCTTCTCCGTGTTGGTTATTCACGTGCGAGGAAATAATGCGCGCGAAAATTGGGAGTAGTGCCAAATTACGAGTAGATGGGTGTCAAGGCTATTGAGAGTTTGTGACACTTAAGGGTCGCCCACGATAGCGCCGAATTTGGTTCTCAAGCCGCGGTGACGGACGCCTGTAAAAAGTTGGACGAAAAGACCTGTCCGAATGCGCCATCTGTTACCACGAATGCAAACGAGCAGTAGTTAAAACATTCGTGGCGTGTTGATCCTGTAAAAATAACCCACACTAGCAACTAATGTTATGACATGCCGTTGGAGCCACAACAATACTGCCCTTTAAATAAGCTAATATTGTTTTCATGCAACAAACGCACGCACTGTAGCAATAGCTGCGAGGAGAGACGCTGGGTGTAACGTGGACGTTTCCCACTACGAGTTTCTGCATGGAAAGCATTATCGATATGTACTGCTAGTTAGCAAAGGCTTCGAACTAGCTGAAAGATGAAGTAAACGATAGTACTACGCTCCAACTGCTACTTTTAATTTCATACTAATGTCTAATGAAGGGAATACCATGTAATTAAAACAAAAACCACGTTCATCATCGACCTCATTAGCCAATGATGCATTCAGCATTATTCCCTTCCACTCCAGGTTTTGTTTGAGGAATGCGCTCTACAGAGGCAAATGCGATGCCCGATTAGACGTGGGCACTGGCTCGTAATAAAACCAGTGGATCTGAGCAAACATTCCGCTCTAAGTCAAACTTTGTTTGGAAATTTAAAAGTGAAAATAGCTTCACACTGCAACTACTCTCAACGTTTCTCACCTGTACTACGGGGTTGGAATGCCTTCCAAATAAGGATGTTGAAAAAAGTACTACTTTTATATTGCAGATTACGGCGTAAGAAACGTAACACACGGTGACGTGTTATAACGGTTTATACGTTGCACGTCCATCTGCGATCCTAATCAGCGGACTTCAATTTTCTCGACTTTTACTTCTTCGATACAGGACTGGGAAACGGGAGGCAGTAACTCACGTTATTCCGCGTTGATAGTTTCTTCTAAGGGCCGCCCATAAATTACGTAACACAAATTTGGAATACTTTGAATACCCCCTCTCCCCTATAAAGCCAACTTGACCCCCTAAATAATTCAGTAACGCATGCAACAAAGAATGGCACCCACTCCCCATTTACAATACGTAAAAGTCAATTATAAAGCAGAAACTAGTTGTATTATATTTGTGTTGTATATTAAAAGTTATAATGGAAGTCAAAATTAGTCAAGAAATAATATGACCAGGGACCATTTTTTAAAGGATGCGTAGACATGAAAATTTCTGACAAGACAAGCAAACATCAAAGAAGATGCATGAGACTCATTTTCATTTACACTAAAAAAAAGTAAATAAAATAATTATTTAAAATTTTGGAGCACATTTGGTTTGGATTTTTTCAAGTAACATTCGATGTATTAGAGGGTACGAAGTTTCAATACTATAAAATTACGTAATAATAACCTATTATTTGAGAAAGTATGAGCTGTAGTAACATCTTAAATTTTTTGGACTTCAATCTCATTGATGCAGGTTGGGGAAGGGCAAGAGGATTCCGTATCCTGCGAAAGCACACTTTCAGGGTTTTGTGTGGATGGTTTCATATAGAAGTTCAAAACCGTCAAAATTCTTTATAGTGTTACACCATGTCATCAGTATTGAGAGGAAGAGTTTCACAGATTTTATGTTTCTTCACAGCAAATTTCTGTGGACAGAAGTACCATTGTATTCAAAGAGCAAGTTTCATTTAGGGAAAGTCAACCTAAAGGAAGGAATTAGAGGCCATCCATAAATTACGTAATGTTAAAAGAGGTGGGGAGGGGGTTTGAGGATACACAACGCAGCATTACACGGGGTGGGGGGTATTAGTTTAGTGTTACGTTATGCTAATGATTTTTTTCAACCTTTGCTGAAATACTTTTTTTTTTTTTTTTCAGTCTTAAACTAATGGTATACTGATTGAATCTTAAATTACAAAGAAAATATTCAAAACTAACCTACAGAATATTCTAGAATACAATTACAGTGATGCAGTAAATTCTTGCCCATGTGTCCTCCACAATATGTGCACTTGTCTAAAATTTTTTTGCCAATGCTTCCTTCCTGAAAAATTCTCCCCCAAACTTATGGTTACCTGCAGTCAGCATTGTCAATTATTTCGGTCTTCAATTACAATTGATTTTAATATATAAACCATAAAATTAATACAAATTGTTTTGTTATAAATTTATTTTTTGCTTTTTGTAAATGGTACGTACATTCACAAGCATTACACAATTACCAAGCAAGCATTACAGGTGTGTTACAGAGGGGAGAAGGGGTATTAAAAATTTCCAAATTTGAGTTACATTATTTATGGATGGCCCCTAAAAGCTTTTATGTTGTCAGACTTGGGAAATGGATAGGTTAAGCATTAGAACCATATTTAGGTGTGGCCACATTGAAATTTATCAGGTCCAACATGCCTTTTACAAGTAGAATAGTTGTCCATCTGCTCACAACATACTTCAATTCTCCCAGGAAACAAAAGGAGCACATATGTTTACTGGTCAGGTATGTTTACTGGTCCATCTTCAACTGGCCCTAGAACTAATAGATCTTTGAGTTCACTGGAATAGTTCTGTTTTGATATTAAGATGAGTTAAAAGAGCTGATGAAGCACAAGTATGAGAAGAAGAAGAAGAAGAAGAAGAAGAAGAAGAAGAAGAAGAAGAAGAAGAAGA